CCCCCCCCCCACTCCCTCCACGCACACACCACCACCACCACCTCCTCCTCCTCCTCCTCCCCTGCACTTTCCTAAACCGCCCTCCCTCCTTCCTTCCTCCCCCCGCCACTGCGTTTTTCCCTCTTCTTCTTTTTTTGTTTTACCTTTTTGTTTTTGGTTTTGTTAGCAACAGCCACCGCCGCCCTCCTTCTTGCCAGGCGCCTGCCCGGCGTTGCCCGCGCCGAGGCTGACCGGCCGCTTCGAGTTCGCGCCGGCGTTCAGCGGCGGCCGCTTGCTCCCCGCCGCGTCGACAGGCGCCACGACGAGGTCGTAGACGGACTTTGCCAGCCACTCAAAGGCCTTGTCTACGTTCGTCTTCTCGAGGGCGGAGGTCTCGAGAAAGGAGAGGCCGTTTTCACGGGCAAAGCGGTCGGCCACCTCCTTCTTCACCACCCGGAGGTGCTCCAGGTCGCACTTGTTGCCGATGAGGAAGATGGAGCACGTTGCCGGCACAAACACGCGCAGCTCCTGCAGCCACGTCGGAATGGAGTCAAATGAGGTTTGGTTCGTGATGTCGTAGACGAGCATGGCGCCCTTTGCGCCGTGGTAGATGGAGCGCGAGATGGCGCGGAACCGCTCCTGCCCTGCGGTGTCCCAAATCTGCACCTTCGCGTCGCGCCCCTCAATCTTAATGCTCTTTGTCATGAACTCGACGCCGATGGTGGCGGGGGTGTCCTGGCTGAACTCGTTCGCCGTGTAGCGCGTCATGAGGTTCGACTTGCCAACCCCGCTGTCGCCGATGATGACAACCTTGAAGGTCAAGTTCGTGTCCTCCATCGTCGCCGCCTTTACTTTCCCCACCCCCTTCTTTTTGCTTTCGCGTTGGCTGTGTCTTCCTCCTAGCGCACAAGCAGAGAGCTATTCTCTGTTGTGTGTGTGTGTGTGTGTGTGGGTGGGTGGATAAAACACTGTTGGGTCAACCGTATACCTTCCGTCCCGCCGCACGGCGAGTGCGGTGCAGAGGAGGAGGAGGAAGAGGAGGAGGGCAAGCCGCCAATGCCGCGGGAGGAAGGCACGACAGCCGGGACGCCGGTGGGCCCCAGCGGCAACGCATAACGTGTACTACTGCATCTGTGCAATATTTAGTGCGTGTGTGTGTGTTTTTTTTCTTTTCTTGTTACTTCCCTTTTTTACTGCGCTTGTTGCCTCGCTTCTTCGACGCTTCTTCATTCCGTCCCGTTCCTCTACATACTTTGCCTCTCTCACTAGAGAGGCTCAGTTTTTTTTGTTTTGTTTTTGGGTTTCATCACCGTACTTTTTTGATTTTTGTTCCCCCTCCGCCGCCTAGCTGCTGATGCCCATCTCCACGAAGCGCTCGCCGTACGTCTTCGACTTCACGCGCGTCAGGAGCACCTTCTGCACGTCAAAGAGGGCAATCACCTGCAGGATGAGCATCAGCAGCGCGCTGGCGAAGGTGAGCTCCTGCGGCACGCAGTTGCGCACGGGCTCGCCAAGCTTGCCGATGACCTCCTTCGAGTTGGTCGCGTTGTTGAAGATGACACCCATCGTCCCCATCTTCTTCCACTTCCCCACAATCTCGCTGTAGTTGAGGAGGCCCAGCTCGTTGCAGTCGCTCATGACGGGGGCGGAGAGGCCGAGCGAGTGGGCCACGAGGAACATCGTGATCACCAGCATGACGGAGATGAAGTAGAGCAGGCGGTAGGCCTTGCGAGGGACAAAGTGCAGAGAAATGTAGCAAATCACCGTGACGATGGAGAATATAATGCCCAGAAAGTGGGCAAAGCCGGCGTGGGCAAAGTTTTGCTCCAGCGTAATCACACGGCCGGTGCCGATGACGTACAGAAGCGTGAAAATAGCCAGCAGGACGCCGAGAATGAGAGAGAGAAATTTCCGCAAAAAGCTGAGCACAGCAGACATGCATTCCAGCGCCATGATTCTTGCTACTGTTACTATTTGTTCTTGTCGTCCGGCGAACCTTAAACCCCTCAGCCTGAACCACGAGGCAGCACAGACGAGAAGAAGATAAAATGTACAACTTACGTTTTTTTTTTAAATCGCTTGACTCGACTCCCCCCGCAGGGCGCGGGAGGAGCGCGGCAGTTGCGTGGGAAGACGCGGCGGCGGCGGCGGGAGGGGCAGTCGGCCCGCCCCGCACCGCCCGGGAACCGTTCGGCAGAGGGAGCCACACACGCACGCACGCACGCAGGTGCCCCTGCCCCGTGGGAATCCCAACAGAAACGCACACGGCAGCATCAAACAGCCACACACACACACAAAAAAAAAGGCAGCCGCAAAGGAATGAAACAAAACCCAGAAAAAAAAATATATATATATACATGCAGGGGGTGGTGGTGGGGGGAACCAGCTGAAGTCGAGGAACTTCACTGACGTGGCCAGAAACACTCCACGGGTGAAGTTTCCAGCTGCTTCTTAATGCATAGAGAGAGAGGGAGGCGGAGTGAGCGCAATGAGTAGCACATTTAACCCACAAATGACGCACGCTACAAAAGTAATAGTAAGAAAAAAAAGAAGGGGCAGAAAGAGGCCCATATTATCTCACCGTGGTGCATTCCAGCGACGACGGTACGTAATTTCCCTCCACGCGTAGCATCCCGCAAATGCAGAGGGCAGCAGCCGCGGCCGTTGTGACGCCCAGAAAGAGCAAAAGATACCGCATCGTCTGCGCCACCTGCGCATTGATCAAGCAATCCACGGCGCGCTGCAGCAGCAGGAGATGCCGCTTTTGCCGGTAGTGCAGCGTAAGCAGGCGCTGGCGGGCCGAAAAAACCCGAACCCGCTCCAGGAAGGCCTCCCGCCGGCGTGCCTCTCGTGGAGGCGAGGAGGAAGAGAGGGGTGAGGGGGACTCACCCAACTCCCTGCAGCCCTGCTGCTCCTGCCAGGGCCGCGATTTTTTCTTTGTGCTGAAGTACGGGGACGTCTCCCAGCGGGTCTCATTTGCCACAGAGGCGAGGAGCGTGGTCATGGCAAGACTGTGCGACGGCGGTTCCGCCGGCAACCGAATGGGTGAAAAGGGCGTCGTCATCGCCGAAGTTGCCGCCGCCGCCGCCGCCGCACGCCAAGAAGAGATGGGTGCCTCCGCAGAATTTCGCCGGTGTTGGTTACCGAGGCCAGAAAAACGGCCTGCAAAGACGGCAGCGCGGAGACGTGCCCACTGTCGCCTTGCACGCACCCTTCCGTCGCTCGTGGCATGCCGCTGCGATTCCAGTAGGAAGAGGCTGCATTTGTTCGTAGGCGTCCGTGGCGTCCCCACCGGATCCCAGAGCGGTGAAGCACGCCCTGCGGCAGCGGCCTCTTCGTTCTTCGCTTCGTCGTTGCCAGCAGCCGCGGCCAGGGCCCGCGTGTCTCGCGCAAAGTACAGGGCAGGGACGAAGATCTCGTGCTGCAGGCGGCTGCGGCCGAACTGCTCATACCAGCTCCCAGCTCCTCCCTTGTTGCCTCGAAGGCAGCACCCCGACAGCCGCAGGCCCCATCCATCGCAGAAGCGACGCCCCGCACGACACGGAGGCCGCTTGGCGTCACGTTTGCCACACAACGTGGGATGGGGGTGCCGGCGCAGCGTCAGGACTCCTCCCACCACCATCGCCGCGCACGGCACCAGAAAGAGGCAGGTGGTCACGAAACTCCACAGCGGCAACGGCGCGGCGGTGGAGGCCAGCGCGGAGGTCAGCCCCATCGCGGCTAGCACGGAGAGCATGAGCTGGAGCGCCAGGCTTAGCACAAACTCCAGCGGTTGGGCGTAGGGACGACAGACAACCAAGGCAACCCCCAAGCCGGCATGGATCACCACACAGGCGGCAAACCCCATCCACGGGCTCCCCACTCCGCTTCCTTCGCGCATCAACGTGGAGACGACGACTGTGGCCGTCTTTTGCGCCACCACAACCAGTTTGAAGTAGCGGAACGCATAGGCGTACGGGGAGTAGAGAAACTTCGCCTCATTCTCTGAGGAGGACACACGTGCGCGGTAAATCACATCCTCCTGCCTCGCTGTCTGCCTCAGACGCGAGCCCAGCGGCGGCGGCGGCGGCAGGACGGGGGAGGTGGCGGTGACGTCGCCGGCAAAGGTCGCCCCGATGTCTGCTCGCTGCGCCTCCGTCCACGCAGACGGGGGCGAGGTCCTGGTCGCCGAGTCGGGCAACGGGTACTGCTGAAGTGCACGCAGCGCCCGGCGGGTAACTAACCCGTAGAGGAGGAGAAAAAAGACGGCGTAGGCGGAGGAGGCAAGAAGGGCGGCGGCTGTCATGAAACCATCGACGCCGCTGCAAGGCACGCCTGCGTCTGCAGAGAGGCGTGCGATGGTGCGCCGTCGTGTGCCTTGCACGCAGGCAGTCGCAGCCGAGCCACTGAACGCGTCACCGTCGCCGTCGGACGCCGCACACGCCACCGTCTGGCAGGGAAACAAATTGATGGTGCTGCGCAGGATCGGGGAGTACATGAACGACACCGCGAGGAACACCACGCCGAGCAGCATGCGGCGCAGCCAGAGTTTGATCGCAAAGAGCCGCAGCCGGCCGCTTCGCGTCAGCCCCAACACAAGTGCGACGGCAAACAGGAGTGCCAGGAGGAACGACGCCGCGGCAAGCGGGTAGCACACCTGCCCGACACGAATCGCGATCACCACCGCGTGCCCGGGTGCAAGTGCAAACACAAACGCGGCGGCAAAGCCGCCGAGGGAGACGAGCAATTTTAGCAACGTCCACGGCAGCGAGAAGGCGCGCGTCCCTTTATGGCGTCGCCAGAGAAGTCGTTGGTGGGCCATCTCCGCCTTGGCCCGCTGAACCCAGGCCTCCTTTTCCATCTCCTCGCCGTTGCCCGGGCCCGCGTCATCCGCGTACAGCAGCCGCCGGGCCACAAGCTCCTCCGCCGCGTCTGGGGCAGACTCAAACTGGCGTAGCCGCTCCAGCACGCGTGCCCGCTCCCGTGCGCCCAGCACCAGGCGGAGGACGATGCCGAGGACGAGCAGCACGGCGACAGCAGCCGCGCCCACCGCTGTGATGATGACCGCTCCCTGCGTGGAGACGCCGCGGGCGAGGGCCGCCAGCGTCGGCCCGCTTTGCCACGCCTCATCTGTGGCCGGCGGCTGCCGCTGCAAGAAGAGCAGCAGCAGGGCGCCCGCCACGGTCAAGAAGACCGACGCAGACAGAAGATAGGCAAAGGCCGTGCAATGCGGTGGTCCCAGCAATAGCGTGGAGAGAAACACAAGCAGGAGGGGGGCCACGACGTTTGTGAGGGCGAAGGTGAGGCGCAAATCCGTGGGCAGCCAGGATGGCACGCGCAGGCCGAGAGCTCCACCCTCCTCCCCAGCGAGACTCTCCGCCTGCAGAGCGGCCTCGCTGTGGCTGTCTGCGTTGCCGTCGCTGCCGCTGGAGAATACCCCACGCAACACAATATCCACAAGCCAGAAAGGGGAGCGGTAGAGCGTGGGAAACACGCTCGGGGCGATCCCCACGAGGAGGTAGAGGTACTGCAAGTAGTTCATCAGCAGCTCCAGCACATCGTAGATCATTCTCGTCTCAATGTCAGCCTATGCACGAGCATGCACACACCCATGTGGGCGTGCCCCTTTACCTCTCAGCATGGCCAACGTTGGCCGGTGCGGAAGGAGACGGCAGAGCGAAGCAGACAGCAAGAAGGTATAGAGCAAAACGGACAAGCCACACTGGCAAGAGAGCAAGAACAATAATACGGAAAAGAAGCAAAACTAAAAAAAAAAAACAAACAAAAAAAACAGAAAAAAAAACGTAATTATGAAGGACGGGAGGAGGAGCGGCGGAAGCGGTCACACGCCCACAGAGAGAGAGAGAAGAAGGGGGACTGGGAGGCGCCGCCCATAAAACCGCGGCGAAGCACAAGGCCGGGAAATCCCCTTCCGCCGCTCCGCTGCGTTCGCGCCGCCGGCACGCCGCGGGCCCGCCACCCGCACGCGCCTTCCCCGCACAGCGTGCAGGCCGTCGACCCTCACAGAGAGGCAGAAGCACAATACGACACCTCCCCGCGGCGTTCGCGGCGCGTGGGGCTCCCCCGGGAGGTCGAAGCAAGAGATTACAGAGGAGACGCAGGCAAAACAAACAGCAGGACGACGGAAACGTCATGCAACAACATTACAAGCAAACGAAGAGAAACGAAACACGCCCAGGTGTGCAAAAGGCTTCAGACATCAAGAAAGAAGGGAAAAATAAAACGGCAGCTACATTTTCCACGCGGCCACGGGTGCGCTCCCCCGGGAACTTGCACGGGCTCACCCTGAAAGGACAAAAACTACTTTCACGACACATTTTCACCGCCCTCCTCCCGCTCGTTTTTGCCCCCGTCAGGTACCAGCGCGCGCGCGTGTGTGCGCGTGAGTAGACATCACCCTCCGTAATTTCCCTCTGCGGCGCCCCCTCAAAGCCGTCGTCCTGACAGCCCTCGGACGGGAGAAGCGAACCACCGCGGCGGCAACACGCGCCAAAACACAAGGGAGAGCGCAGCAGCGCATACACGCACAAGGCAAAATATAGACAGGTAGAGAGAGAGAGAGAGCCGGCACAACACAAAAAGGGAAAGCGGGAGAACCGGCAATAAAAAGCCAAAAATCAAAGAGACTCATCGCGGATGCGAGGAAAAACTTCCAAAACGTCTTCTTCTTTACTTAGACTACACGTATAAAGCGCACACAAAGAGTATATATATATATAGTTATATAGTTATATAGTATGCAGTGTGTGCGTGCGCGTGCACGGTATGCAGCACAGAGTGAGCTGCTGCTTCGGTTGTTTTTTTCAGATTGATGTGGCTGGCCCATCAGGTACTTGCCCGTGATTTCACACACACGCGTCGTCTTTTTTTTTAATTTTCTCGCGCTGGCTTATCTCGAGCACACGTCGCACATGCGTCACCAGCGTTTCTTTTCCATCTCCGTCACCGTCTCACTGCAGCCCAGTAGTTCTACGCGGCCGTCGGGGGTCACGAAGGGATGACAGCCCTTGTAGAACGTCATCCCGCAGAGATCCCGCAGGCTGTAACCACTCACCACGGTGCTTTCATACGCGTCGCGCCGGACGCGTTGCTTGACGCGACCGTCGTCGCACAGCCAATTCTCCACGTCCAAGAGGTAGTACGGGTAGGTGGCGGTGAGGTTTTCCCTGGAGAGACAGCAGCAGTGCTCTGTGAAGCTTTCCCAGCTGTCGTGGCCCATCAGCTCTCGCTCCACGCTGTTGTCGCGCCAGAGGCCATCCACGAAGTCGGGCTTCCTCCCCTGCAGCATTCCACACAGACAGAGGACGAGGGCCACCGTTGTGCAAACGCTCAGGGCAAGAAAAAACCACTGCATGTACTTCTTGATGGTGTCGGCAATGCGGAAGTCCACTGCCTGCTGCAGCGCACGAAGCCGCGTCCGCTGCTCCTTAAATACCTCGCTGAGGCGACGACGCAGCACAAAGTGGCGCAGCAGCAACTTGACGCGGCTGGGTGCCGTGGACGGTATGGGGAGAGGCCGCAGGTCCGCCTCAGCGCCGTGGCCAACGGATGCGCCCAGCGTCTCCTTTCGTGACTTTCGCCCTTTTCCTCCAGGGGTTAGGGTTGGGCTGCCTGAAGCCACGCCTTCCCGCAGCGACGTGGATTCTGACGCGCACTCCGACCCCGTCCTCCGTGAAACCGAGAGGGAGTCCCCCGCCGAGCTCGCTTCGGAGTAGGAGATCTCGGCGAGTAGCTGCTGCATAAACTCGTCCCAATCGGTGACATCCACCCCCTCCAGGTTCACCTTTGGGTAGACGGCGGCATACACCGTCGGGCGGCGGTCCCCGTCGTACCGAGTTTGCAGCTCCCGCTGACACAGGTGCTCAAGCCTTTGCACCTGCCTCTCTGCGTTCAAAATACACTCGAACCGCGCTGTCATTGAGACCGAGCCCTCCTGCCCCTGCGGCTCATTGAACTCCGTTGGAGCTGCCTCCGATCCGCGATCCACGAGCGACACCAACGTCTTTGGCGGCGTTCTCTTCGGCGGATCCGCATGCTCCGCGGAGGCGTGCTCATCGGGGGTCCTCCGCCCCGAGCTGCTGAGCAGTACTTCCACCTCATCCGAGCTAGACGGGGGACCACCGGCAAACGAATGGGCTCGCTTGCGGTCCAGCACAATGGGAGGGTGGTGCAGGTTCTTCCGCTGCTTCAGTCTCGAAAACGCCGTGAACTCCCCGGCGGCATTTCGCTCGGACGCCACCGCGCGGTTCTCTCTCGCGCAATGCGACGGCGACGAGCTTCCCGGGACGTTGTACGTCTGCTGCTGTGCTTCGGAGGGCTCTAGCCAAAAAGGCCGCTCCCGCAGCCCCGTTGACTTCCGCAACTTCCTTCGCCTCTCCAGCACGTCGGCATACTGCAGTGAGCTGTCGTGAATGTTGAGCGCCTTGCGCCAACGCTTCCAGCAGCGAAAAAACACACTCTTCCGTGGGGCATTGGCAGTTGGATGGCTTTTCACATCGCCGGTCGTTTTCTGACCTTCTTGCCCGCCAGACACCGCCGCCTCCGCCGCCGCCGCCGCCGCCTCCTCCTTCCTATTCCTTGTGCCCCCGCGGGGGGTGGTGGACTGCAGCTCCTCCGCCCCAGCGACCAGCGGCTCCTTCTGTCCCGGAGTGGTGTTCCGCGGCACCAGTTGTCCACGGAGGGTGGAGAAGAATGAAAAGAAATTCCGCAGTGTTCCTTCAACGCTCCACTTTCCAGTTTCCTCCGCGTGCAGCAGCCGCTGCCGCTCTGCTTCCTTCTTCGCCGCGTCCCCAGAGAGGAGCAACAATAGATCGTCAAACCCGGCAAAGTACACGGCGGGTATAAATCGCCGCGCATCCTTGAAGTAGTCATCCTCAGGGAACTCAAAGCCGTAACTTACTTCCGCAGCTGGACTCTGCTGCGACGCGGAGGGCGCGGCTCGCGCAACTCCGGCGTCGCCTGGGTGCGGCGTGAGTTCCATCGGCTGCTCCTCTGCTGTGGGGTCGGCCAGATTGACCCCGTGGGCCGAACGCCCCTGCAGGGAGCACGACCCCTTCTGCGAGCAGTGCTGGCGCGGCCCCGCAAAGGATCCCGCGTCTGCTTCACACACCTCCCTGGCCGGCGGCGGCTTCGCCGCGTGTGTCCCAGAACCGCTCCCACGGCTGTTGGAGAGACGCAGCTTGCGGGAAGAGTTGCTCCCCCGGTCTTGCCGCTCTCGCCTCGCCGCACGCGCGGCACCGCCACCAGACGCCTTCCCGCCCCCGCCCTTCCAACTTTCTACGCTCTCGCCCACGAGGCCGGGCAGGGCGTCGTCCCCCCCGGCGTTTGACGTGGAGGAGGCCTGGGGAGCTTTCCTCACCACCGCAAAGCCTTCTTGGAGGCGTCGCTGCAGTCGCTCTGCACGCTCGCGGTCCTGCCGGAAGGTCCGCACGAGACCAACGGTGAGTGCGGCCAAAGGGGCAACAACCATGATCACAGCCAACAGTACAGCCACCCCAAACGGAATGGCGCGCCTTCCAAGCCGCTGCCCCACCACCCCAACGGAGGCCACACACGCAATAGTGAATTGTTGCGTGGCCCCGTAAATGTTTTCCACAGGACGGGCGTAGGGGTGCAGCAGGACGGTGTACAAAAAGTATGCCATGCAAACCAGAAGGACAAGCGCCAGGCCGATCCATGACAGGTCGTCCTTAATGCCTCGGCTCGTCAGACAACCGATTGTCACTAAAAAGACCCTTTGAAGCAGAAAGGTGAGACGCGCCTTGCGGTAGCTGCGGCGGTAGGCCTGGTACACGGGTGCCGAGACATTGGCTGACTTGCGGGCCTTTTCGTAATAAAGCTCCTTCTCGGTAAACTCATCCATGAGGCGCTTGTCAAGCGGGTACTCCCTCTCCAGAATCTTGCTCCCCCGGTCTGCCACAACCACCAGAAAAATCGGGTATGCTACCGTGTAAGAGAGCAGAATCACAAGCACGGCGAGCTTGTAAAAAAGATTCACCTCGCTACACGGCACAGATGGGTCGTAGGCAAGGAGGGAGTGGGTGACGGCATTCCCGCAAAGCTCCATTTGTAGGGCGGCGGGACAGTTCTGCGCGTGCATGGAAAAATTGCAAGGGGAGCAAGGGGAGACTGGTGCGCCCCACACGGCGGAGTTGCCGGAGACATTGCTTATGCTCCCTGGGGGCCCTATCCACTCCCCGACGTCACACTTCACCTTGACACACCACATAATGTTGATCATGTTCATCAGAACAGGCTGTAAATGAAGGAAATCGCAATCAGCATAATTCCCAGCATCGTGCTCGAGAGGAGGTCGTACATCTTCAAATGCAGTCGTCTACCGGCTCTGAACAGGCCGAGGATGGCCCAGACAACAGTAATAAGGCCTGTCAACACCAGGATAGAACCGGTGGCGTGCCCAACGGGGCTGAATTGAAGAAAACGGATCTCCTGTATCGGCGGCAGCCCGGCAAATACAACACCACTCATCACAACGACCACCGCCACGACGAGCTGGGGCAGCATCACGGCAAGGTGGAAACGGCGCAGGTAACGCTTATTGCTATCCTCATACGCCGTCAAGGCGGCAAGCGCCCGCCGATTGGTCTCTGAGCGCGTCACAGCCTTTTCCGCAAGTGAGGTAGCCCACGCCGGCTCATTCCTCTCAGTGGTGATGTCCAGCATAATCGCCTCCTGCTCACGCATGCGACGCAGCCGCCGGCAGTGGACACCGAGGGCCCCGATTAGGATGAGCACCGCGGTGGACGCCGCTCCAACGCTCAGGAGTAGCACCCGGGTCTGTTTCGGAAGGGACTCTGTCGAGTGGATCCACGGCTGCGCAAGCAAGACCGCCCCAAACACCATCGAAAAGAGGGCGGCCAAGGTCAGAACGGCCCATCCAAAGGCCAGCGTCGAGCAGACTGTGAGGACGCCAATAAGAGACACCAAGAAGGGCGCAAAAACCACAATAAAGGCAAATTGCAAACGGTAGTCTAGCGGTAGCCAGTCTGGCAACTTGATTTCCAGGGGGTTTCTGTAACGATTTTCTTTACTAAAGCTGTCCATAAACTCAAGACTGACGTAGCGGAGACTCCGAAAGGGTTCCACGTAAAAGTCGGGAAAGCTCGTCGGTGAGATAGAGACAAGGATGTATATATACTGCACATAGGCCACCGTCATATCCGCCAAATCAAAGACGGTCATTGCCCCAGCCACCAATATTGACTCCTTTTGTGTTCACGACGGCAATCAAAAACGCCTTTTTGCGCCTCACTAAATGGTTGTGGGTTTTAGCAAGGACAGTACGTGTATACGTGGCGTTATTGCCGCACAGTGCCGCCTTTCGCCTCAGCGTCTACCCCTTCGCGTTGAACTCCCTGTACGTGTGTGTGTGTGTAGGTGTCTGTGGGTATGTAACTGTCTCTCTCGCCCTGTTTTTATCCTCAGACTCTCTTTCTCTCTCTCTTTTCCCCCTCTTTTTGCTTCTGAGGCGCAGGATCCGGGAAGTGTGCCCCGCAAGGAACTCTCCCGCCGCGAAGGATGCCCTCAGCCAAGAGCTACAGGCTCTGTCGTCGTATCCTGCTAGTTATTTATTGCTGTTACTCTTTCCCTTTCCCTCCCCGCACTTGGCGCCTTCCTTCCTCCCTTCCCTGGCTCCCTCGCCTGCAGAGACGCCAAACACTACGGCGGGAAGATGAGAGGAGGAGGGAGAAACAGTGGGGGAAAAAAAAGAAAAAGAAGAGGAGCGGAACCCCAAAATGAAGACGCAACAGCAGATGAGAAACCTCGCATGGCGATGCACACGCTGAGAAGCACACGCCTCCCCAAAAACAAGACAGAAGAATGTAATTTGGGTTGGCGCACAATTGCCCACAGCAACTCCATTCTTTTGGTGGTCTTTTCACTTTGGGGCGCAAGCGCACAGTTATGTGCATTTATAAATCTGTGCCTGCCTGGGGGCTGTACGTGCGGGACGCTCGTGCTCCCCCGCCTGTGCGTGTGCGTGTGTGTGTGTGTGCCAGACGACAGGTACGCTGCAGCTGCAGCGGAGGCCACAGACGCGAGGAGGACAAGTTGACGCCGCCGACACGCCGGAAAGTGGTCTGCAACTACAGCAAGAAAAGAAAAACAACAACACCGCAGAGCAAACGGCGCCGACGCACCTCCTTCCCTCGCTGCTTCACGCACGCATTGCCCCTTTGCCGCCTGAGACGTATGAATCAAAAATACAGACAACAGCAGCGACGAACAGTTTTTATCGCTTAATCCAAATTTTTT